ACCGGACGGCTGGCGTGGCAGCGGCATCCCCAGTCTGCCAGTGACCCGCCGGGATGCTGCTCAGGCCTGCCCTCTGGCCTAAGCCGTGGAGGTGGGTGCTGCCTGCACCGCCACGAACTGCTCACGCGTGAATGGCAACACCAAGGGGCTGCTAAACAGATGAGGGGACGTGCCAGCGGTTAGTGTTTGTTTCCCCCCACCGCGGACACGTACTGAAAAATGAGTGAGAACCTGCTCAGCTTAAATAAACCAACAGTTCATTTTGACAGCTTTTTCCCTCACCTGAACTCAGCATTTACACTATTAACATTACAAAGTCCTGTTCAGTGCTACTGCTAACGTGAACTTTTTCTTCTCCTCTGCCCCAATAAAGGAAGGTTTTCTCCTTGGAGATGTGAAAGGTGAAGCCAAGAATAGCATTACTGACTCACAAATGGATGATGTCGAAGTTGTTTATACAATCGGTTAGTCTGTCCACATTTTTAATACCATGCTTGGTTTCAGGCCAATACGCGACTGCCTACAGTTTTGAATGAGGGCAGCCAACACCTTACAGCGAGATCAAAGCTGCTAGAACATGCGTCCATGTTGAAAAAACACCACACATTTTAAATGCTAAAAAAAAAAAAGCAATTTTAGTGTAGAAAATGACAATAATTTAACAGAAATATCATAGAATCATAGAATGGTTAGGGTTGGAAGGGACCTTAAAGATCATCTAGTTCCAACCCCCCTGCCATGGGCAGGGACACCTTCCATTAGACCAGGTTGCTCAAAGCCACATCCAGTCTGGCCTTGAAGACATACTAGACATACTAGAAATACTAGTTCTTAGTTCCTTGAATAGCTCCAAATATCTTGCCACGTTAAAGGTAGACTCCTTCTTTGTCTTGGCCATGTCACAAAGTCATGTGGATGACAGTTGCCCTGGAAAAACTTGGCCTGTTTCACTGATGTGAACTGTAATGTGTTAGCATATTACCTAATTCAAAGCTTATAAAATACTGTGTGTGAAGGCTGCAAACTATTTACGTATTTCATTGAGCAGATGCCAAATGTGTTTTTCTTTATAGTGTGGGTGTGCATTTTATACTAGCCCTCAACAAAAACATATGTATACATGCACACACGTTTAACTCCATTCCTTTAAAACGCAGTCACACAAAGAGAGAACAAGGTAATACAGTATGTGCCTTCTTTCCAATCTTCCTGAAAATAAATTGCACCCCATTTTCTAGTTTTACAGCAGGCTACAATTAAGGTGTAACACTGTGCTGGTTTTAGTCAGGACAGAGTTAATTTTCTTCACAGGGGCTCATAAGAAACTATGTTTTTGGACTTGCCCTGAGAAAAATATTGGTAACGCTGGTGTTTTTTGGTGGGTGCTAATGAGTGCTTGCGCTAATTCAAGGTTCTCTCGGGTTCTGATACTGCCCCAGTGTTCCCAGCTTTCTCACTACAAGCAGTGTGGGAGGACACACAGTTCAGACAGCTGACCCAAACTGACCAAAGGACTATTTCATTCCATAGCACATCATGCTCAGCACATAAGCTGGGGGGGCAGGGGGGGCATAGCTCCTTTGCTTGCTCTCTTATTAGCTTGCTTGTTTGTTAGCTTGCTAGCTTGCTTGTTTGTTAGTGAGTTGGTTGGCTTTCCTGGTTGTGCTGTTGCTCACGGGGCTCGCTTTAACTTTGCTGCAATCGCTGTCAGGCTCCAGCTCTGACACTCACTACTTGGGACCTGGCTGTACATCAGTCAGTGGATGGTGAGCAATTGTATAATTTCTATTATTTTAATTACTTACTCGTAGTAGTATTGTTAATATTATCAGCATTACTATAATATTCATTTATATTCAATTATTAAATTGTTCTTATATAATTTCATGAGCTTCCTTGTCTTTTCCTCCCATTCTCCTCCCCTGTGGGTACAGGGGGGCAAGCAGATGCACGGTACTTTACTGCTAGCCAGGGTTAAACCGCGACATGCTTTCCTCCACCAAGTCTCACAGCTGGACCAAAAATGTGGGGAATGTTTTGTGGTGGCATCGACCAAGTTACTTAGAGTCTCATCATGACATTGTCACAGGCAGAGTTAATTGCTCCAAAGCTGGGGGTTTATTTTTTAGCTAACTTGTGAAGATGAAAGTAGTAGAGAATTTAGGTAAAGGAAGGGATTTAGAATGCCATTAGATCATTTAACTTTTTTTTCATGGTAGTCAGTCTTCCAGTTCTCATTATCTGCTCTATGGATTTCTGCTCTCCAGCCTCATCTTTCTTACTAACAGCATCCATGCCTTGCTGCAGAGTAACTCAAGTGAAATCTCTCATATTATATATGACTACTGTACTCCACAGAAGGGAGGGAAAATAAAGTGCCCAATTTGGTTTTTCACTTGACAAAACAGAAAAATGTAAAAACAGTTTATATTAGTTCCCTTTACATTTGAAAAGTTAATTAGAATATTCTTAAATAATATTTCCTTTCTTAACCTTATCTAATTATATGTTAATGTATTTAATTTTAAGAGATACTATATACTAAGTCTTTCTTAGCATTTTTACCAGTTTAAATCTGATCACAGCATACAGAAGAATATACACCTTGAACTTATAAACCCAGAGTATTATTACCTTCTCTTTCCAGATATACAGAAGCATATTCCATGCTACCAGTTGTTCAGGTAAGAACCTTAGGTAAACAGATACGAAAAAGGTAAAATTAAGCCTAAAATGAACACTTCAATAGTTAAATGTGTATTAAATTACTGGGAAAATCACCCGGCTGCAACTGCAGCAGCTATATCAACCCCTTGGAATTACAGATGCAAAATGCCTTACGTGATTCCTATTCTGGTTCTTCATGTCCTTTTTGGTGTTTGTGCATACAGTAGTAGAGATGGCATACTGCATCTTCTGGTAAGCTAAGGTACTATATAAACTACAGAATAACATTAACATACAGGGGGGAAAAAGCATTGCTCTTCTAAAACCATTGATCCCAACCCCCCACCTTCCAAAAAAGAAAGAAATAAAAAGGTAGCATTAGCCAGAGGCTTTTAAGGAGATCAGAAAACCCAAACACTTGTTAGCCCCATGGCAGGAGTATTTCAGAGTTCCAGCATAGATGGGAACACTGCTGTAAGGAGAGAATCACAACCCAGTTGCCTTCTCAAATCTTTCTGAAAGTTAATAAGCCCAGATGTCATTAGAAAAGCATTTCAGATCAAGTTGAAGGCATCTTACTGTTTAGTAGCTGGAAGAACACAGATGCTACGTTTATCTTGTGTCCCAGTAGCACTGATGCCAGAGCAGCGCCTGGGCTGTACAAGACCTCCTCCATAGCCAGTTCAGGAGTGGAGTGAACTGTGCTGTCCTAGCAGAGCAGCTGTGTCAGCGTACCTTTAGGCTTACCAGGGGGGAAAAAGGCTATTAAAGTGAGACGATTGCCACACTGCTAGGGAATAAATATTTTACAGTAGCTTTTTTTTTTATTTTCCTCTAATTGCCCCAATTTTCTTCTAGCTTTTATAATTCTGCAGGAGAACTGAATGAAGTTGCCCTGAAGAAAATCCTGTCAGGCTGTAAGAAGGTATATTTCAAACCTAAATCATACCAAGTAGCTCGCTCAGATTTTAGAGGCCATTCTGGATACCTCTTGTATCAAGCTTTCCCCCCACCCCCACCCCCCTTTTTAAAAATCTTTTAGTCCCTCACACTGCTGGCCAAGGCAGCTGCATCATCGTTTCCCCCCATCCAAGAACAGTTTAGGTTCTTTGACTAGAGTTTGCCTACATTTATGTCACAATTTTATTTTTTCTTACTCATTTCTCAAGTTAACCATTCAAATATCCCAAAGAATTCTACTGATACCTAGCTTAAGATCAACTGACATCAGCTCACTCAAGTGATTAAGCATCTTTTGACCAAAAAAATTTACAGTCTTCTCCACAGAAGGAAGTTTCACAAGAGAAGAGTAGAAGGTGACAAGAGACAAACAGCAAAATAGCAGAACCAAGTCTGCAGAGTTTCAGCTTGAGCAGAAGCTCAGAAAAACAGGCCAGTTCACATAGTTTTAAAGGAAAGAAAGAAGTCATCATACTGGAATTAAGCTTAGATGTTTTAAGGATTGCAAGTTAACCAACTGCTTGAATATGTACACATCACCAAACAGTTCAGATGCGTCACTTTGTACTGAATCCTCTAACTTGCTTCAGTATAACACAGAAGGACAGCGTGATTCAACAGTAATAACGAATTTTCTTCCGCCTGCAGAGTGTAATAGGATGGTACAAATTCAGACGGAACACAGACCAGACCATGACATTCCGGGAAAGACTTCTTCATAAGAACTTGCAGTCACATCTATCAAATCAGGGCCTTGTGTTCCTTTTATTAACCTCTAACGTGATGACAGACAGTTGTTCTACTTACAGACTGGAACATGCCTTACATCGGCCACAAGAAGGGTAAGTGTTCTGTTCTCTGGTTTTAATAAAGCAGGAGCACAGCATGTGCTGTAACTCAGAACAGGGCTTGGGGTTTTTTTTATTGTTGCAACCAAATTGTTAACACTGTTTAATGTGTAAATACCAAGGGTAACATAAACAAGATTATTCCTTATGTTGCTAGAGCCCAGTTGAAATCTTACTCTGGAGATCTGTTCAGGGATTTGCCTTAGTACCCATCTGTACTGCCGCTGTCACTGTCAGCACATTTTACATACACAAGCTGTTCTTGATCAGTTTGGTTTTGCATATATGACTTCAACTATGCATGGTGTTCATCTTCACCTATGACTGAAGTATTTAAATTGGTAGTGATTTCCAGTTACCTTGAGAAACATGCTGCCCATAGGCTAGGCTTAACAAACAAGTACTGCATTATTGCGACTCATGCTCAGAAAGAAGGAAAAACGACCCAGAAGCACTGCTCAGTCTTGTTGCTCATGCAGTTTGCTTTTAGCCCTAAGTAGTCATCTATGTGTAATGTAACACATTTAGCAAGAACTAAATAAACTTTCATCTGGGATGCTTACTGGTCAAGAACCTTTAATTATCAAAGAGAGGCCTTTGGATGTTAATAAATCATGTTTTCATACTTCTGCTTTTTAAGTCTTTTCCAGAAAGTTCCTTTGGTAATTACCAACTTGGGTATGGCAGAACAGCAAGGCTACAGAACAGTGTCTGGTTCCTGCATATCTTCTGGTTTTGTGAGAGCAGTAAGACAACACAGGTACAATACATGCCCCATTTACTGACAGATGTAGCTTTCGGTTAAGTATAGTTTTCTTTCTATAGAAGTACGTTAAGTGCTTTTGGAAATGCTACAGCCACACCCTGCTCACTTGTTCATGTGTTTCCTGCAATTACTTACTTTTCCATGGTACTTGGAAATCGATTCAGTCCTGTACTTCGCCACGAGAGCAACTGTGTCTTAACACAGGCACCCAGTGTTAAAGCTCAAAATGCTTCTTTATTAATTTTAACTCCTACCAAGTAAGCACTGAGATCATTAACTTGCAGTTACACAATTATATTCCCGGTCTGCAGGTCAGAATTCTTTTATGAAGATGGATCCTTACAAGAGGTTCATAAGATAAACGAGATGTATGCCACCTTGCAGGAGGAACTGAAGGTAAGTAGGAATACTTGCTGATTGTTATTTTCAGCAGAACTACAAAACCAGGTCAAGCAAAGGGTACACCGTCTTGCACTAAATGAGAAACAAAGCTGTGTCCTGGGAAGGCATACTTAAAGATCAGGGAGTTCCATTTACTATTAGCAGCTGTACACTGACTTCTCAAAGTTGAAGCCTTAAGTTTCCATTTGATCAAGAATGCACTGATAAATCCTGAAATCCACTAATCGATTCTCAAGAGAGAAGAGATTTTGAAGGAGTACTCCCTGCAGTTTGTTAGATCTCCTTTGCTTATATGGGAACAGATAAAACATCTTGCACCTCATTCAACACAAAGTTTAAGTTCTTGCTAAAATCCACCTCAAGCTCATTACTTTGTTTCCAACTTAAAACCCTGAGTACCTTTAAGGATTTTGCAGCAAGGTTGAAGTCAGCTTCTGTGAATACTCTTCATTCCATCAAATGCTCTTTTCCTTGCAGAAAATATGCTCCACAGTAGAAGTTAGTGAACGATCTGTAGAGAAACTCTTAGTAGAGGTGAGCCAATTAAAAGAAGAAATAAAGAGGAAAAGGCAACAAAGCTGTTCAGGTAAGTCAAATAAATGTAATATCAGTCTTTTGAAGACTTCCAGACTGGATTCAATTGGCAGAAGCACACAACACTTCTGAACCTGAGGCAGCCAAAACAGTGGTGGTAAAAGTAGGCAAGAAGGACTACAACTCTAGCTTCTTTCTTTTTTTTCCAGGAGAAGACAGAGACTACCCAGGAGAGCCAAAAGAGAATGTTTTCCTTTGTCAGGCACTGCAAACGCTTTTCCCCAATTCTGGACTTCAGACATGTATTGTTTCCTCCAAAGGCCAACAGATATCCAAGAACTGCTGTAACATTGACCATAACATTAATGTCATGGACACACTGACTCTAATGGTAGAGGAGAAAGACTTCACTGAAACCGAAACAAGACACCTAACCAAGCGTAAATTCAGAGGGACCACAGCAGGATCAAAGTCATTCAAGAAATCCAGATCACTGCAGCTTCACCAAAAATTACTTCGAGACCAAGAGGACACTGACCAGGAAAGGAAGCTTATGCTGAGGACCACTGAAACAGATGAGGATGCGTTTGAAAAAAATAGGGACACAAATGAATACTCGCACTGTACTACTTCTTGATCTGTTAACAGTAACTTTGCACCAAAAGCTACTGCCAGCATATTCAAGTGACATACCGATCTATAGCACTGCAGGGATGAAAATACAGTGCATTTTTGAAAAACATACACCGAGGGTTTTTTTTTTCCCCTCCAGTGCATGAATCCTCTTTGGTATAGAGACAAATCCAGGTGACATTTTGCCTCCCAGAGTTAGAGCTGTATTCTCCCTCTCTCTTTCTCAGGGTATAAAGAATCTGCTAGGAGGATGTTAGCGGTCACACAACCATGTCACATACTCCTCAGAGTACTACAGCTTCAAGCTGCTGTTGGAGAAGCAGTACCACCCTTCCCCCCTCAGCACAAGCTGAGGTAGGGAGCATCAAATGAACACAGGTAACATGCTTAACAGAATTAGCTGTCTACATAAAGTATTTAAATCGTGGCAGTTGATCCTTAGGTATCCAGTACTTGTTTATTCCACACACACCCCCTTCCAATCCAGCACGGCAAGACAGCCACCTGAACTTCAGCAAGACCTGTGAGCAGAGGAAGTGGCCCATACAGCTGCCAACTGCTATTAGCACTTTCATCTTTCATACTTCCTTCAGACAATAGGTTTTAGAGACCTGATACTTCACAGAAAAACAACTGGCATCCACCCTTCACTCAGTGATGCATTATGCAAGCCAACCACATTTCCAGTAAACAATAATATATAGATGGGAAAAGTAGTTTTATTGTTTGTTTCTTTACAGTACTTTACTCTGGATACTTGATATTACATATCTTGGGGTCTGTGAGAAACGACGGGTTCTTAAACATAACTGGCATAAACCCTGTAAAAAGATAAGAGGCAGGTTTTCTTAATAGAGAGTAGGCTTGACTTAACAAAACTCAAAAGCATAATCATACTTACCAAATACATGAGCTCTCTTTATGGCTTTTGTAATTTCCCTCTGCTTCTTGTTGCACAAGCCTAAAGAGACAAATCATTTTCAGTCTCTCAAATCAACAATAACCAAACCATTAGTTTAAAGGTGAAAGGGATATTACTGATAATTCCCTCTAGCTTTGTCTAAGTCTTCCTAGAAAAATACACGTATACTTCACTGCTAAATACAAAATGCATATAATTAAGGGATATTTCCATTCTTTGATGAAGGCTGTTAAGTCACAGGAATACTGTTATAAAATGTGTAGAGGTGGCAGTAATTGCTTTTGGAAAGACAGCCGAGATAGACAGTTAGACCCACAAGATAATTAATATTAACCAGTAAGTGATGTAATATAATAATTCACATACCTGTTATATGCCTGCCATAAATGCGGCCAGTATACGGAGAAATGAACTGGGAAAGAAGCTACTTAAGAAAACCAAAGTCAGTTTAACAATTTTTTTAAAATGCTTTATTTTACTACTTAGATTTTTTTTTTTTTTTTTAATGTTTTTACAAAACTCAGTTCTACCCAGAGACAAGAAAACGTGTATCTTGGAGCTAGACAGTACTTCATATGCCATAACGTTTAAGCTATGTAACACTGGAACTAGAACTAAGGCCTCTATTTGTTATTTACCAAAGTTGTAACACCTGCACATCGGACTGGTACACTGAAGAGCTTATCACCGCTACATTATTCGACCCATATCTGCACACATTGTTACTCTTAGGTTTTAAACCCCAACACATGTGAATGAATTTTGGGGATATTTTTAATCTTTGTGGACTTCACACACACACATTTAGAAATAGTAAACCGGTTATCTTCATTTAATGACAGGAATTTTCAGGCTTACCTGCACGTTCTTGTAGTCCACATTTACTCCACATAAAATACATTTTTTAGGAGGCTCTTTATAGGGGTTCTCCATTTGTATGGGCTGAAATTAGAGAGTTATTGACATCTGTAAGCTTCAAAAGAAAGTAGTATTTGTTGGTTTTGTCCTTTGGGCGAAACATGCATTGAAACCAGAAGAGGTATTTAGTGCATCACTTAAGTTCCTTAACTTTCTTGTTTCCATTTCGCTAAGGTATCTAGCAATCTAAGACTTCAGCTACACAGCCTTTTACATCTGGAGCAGCACTGATAAGGTCTTAGCTGGCACTGAGGAATGTCTGTACCAGTTTCAAGGTCTTTTCTCCGCTTCTGATACTGCAGCTGTGTTCCCGGCTCTCGCGGTCTCGCTACAAAGAGTGCTGGGACATAGAGTTCAGACACCTGACAAAAACTGGCCAAAGAGGCATCACTTAGTGCATCACTTAAGTTCCTTAACTTTCTTGTTTCCATTTCGCTAAGGTGTCTAGCAATCTAAGACTTCAGCTACACAGCCTTTTACATCTTAACAATGATGTATTACTAATCTTAATTTAGATTAATGACAATGTAAGAAGTCAGTCAGAGCCATCAATAAGGTAGCACTTACATGCTTTACTTAGAAAGTAGTACCTACAGAAGCTGGTAGTAAGGCAGTTCTATCAAAGTCACAAGAGATGTTTGAAAACGATTTCAAAGCAAATGGCCAGAGGGAGCTCCTGTCTGCTCACATACTTTTAACAGAGAAATTCCCAAATATCTCCCAAGCCCTGAAAGGCTCCTCAAGCTTCAGAAGACACCCAGCGCCAAGTCCTTACAAGACATGAGTGAAGAGAGAAATTTTCATTTTTGCAGACAAAGATGAGATTTGGGAAGACAAAAAATACTGGTACCAGACACAGCCCAGTGCCTTCTCTGAAATCTTTCCCAGCTATGTAGAGGACATTAGTGCTGCCAAGGGTTTTGCTCCACCTTTGAGTTACCGAGACTTAAGGAACTGCCGTTAAAGACACTGACTACAGATCAACGGGGCCTTAGTTCCAACACCCAGCGCCTGTCCTCAGCGCTGGGTTCCTACGCCATCACACACCGGCAGCGTTGCAGCTGCCCCGGCTGTAGCGAGACCTAGCAAAGCTTTCCGGGACACCCTCCTCCCGGCGCGGGCGACGGCAGCCTGACAGCAAGCAGGGCACATGGAGCTCGCCACGGGCTGCGCTCAGAGGCCTCACCTGGTCGGAGCGGCCCAGCTGCTCCTCATGCTGCCGGCGGCACGGCCGCTCCCACAGCGACGCTGGGAAGGGAAAACCGACAGGG